TGGCAGGGGGAGCACTAACGACTCACATAACGAGGGGGAGGAGCAACAAACTCAGGTGTTAACGGCTCCTTAAGGATATCAGTATCTGGAACTCCCAACTAGTCAGTCAGAACTAATAAAGCCTCTTGGATGAGAGGTGGAACGTCTTCAAGGAACTCCAGCAGTTGCTATGATTAAATGAGAATTTTCAGGTAAAGATTCATCATGAAACTGCTAAAAACTAAAAGGCAATCACAACACAAACACAACTCAGCTGTTTCTTCATAGCTCTGTCATGCTTGTGTGTCCTTTTGTGATCACTTTGTGTCTTTTCGCGGATGTCTTGACCCTCTACAGGCTCGTCTTCCGTCTCTATGTGAGTGTTTTGCATCTCTTTGATTCTCTTCCAAACCATTTTGCATCCTGCAGTGGTTTTTATCTCCCTTCTCTTTTTGTTATGTGGCCATTTTACATGCATTTGCAGATTGTTTTGCAGCATCTCTGTAGTATTTTGTCGATTTTCTTCTCCTTTATTTTTATTCTGCGGTCATCCCGGCTGTCTTTGTGCGGTTATTTTTGCATCTCCACTTTGTCGCTTGTTGCTGCAGTTTGGCCTTACAGACGAGACATTTGGCTTTAACATCAAAAGCCCTTTTCAGGGATGTTTCCCGACTTGTCGCTCACAATGACACCAGCATTTCAAATCTGGTGGGGAGTGAGTGAATACGGGGCAAAGGCTGAGTCCTGAGAGCAAAAAATAAAAAACCTCAGCACTTAGAAGAGACTCAGACGTGTTTACGTGCGATCCTGAAAACCCGTCATGCATTCATGGAATTCATAGAAGTCAGAGTCGAGCTAAAAACAAGCACGGTCCTGCTTCAACGCTGTAAGATTACTTTAACCATTTTTATTGGAGAACAGTATTTGCTGAATATAATTGAAGCCGTTTTGCAAAAAACACGATAAAAATGCAGCAAATTTTTCATCTTAAATGCATTCAGTGACCACAAAATAATCATTTCTCCTGCTCAGACTCAACGAGCATCACGTCTCATCATGTTGAGAGTCTAATAGAACATAAAATAATGTGCAAAAGATGAATTAGTTCCATTTTGCTTCATCTGCGTGTAAAAATGGAAGAAACATTAATGAGGCCATGAAGCACTGTGTGCCTCATTTCATCCCTAAATGATCAGCGTGATAACAGTTTAAGTCGCTCTCTATTAAACCCCTAAAAATGGTTTAAAATCAAGTTTTTTTTCACATAAATCGGCCCCTGCTTCAAAATGCCTTTAAATCAGTTGATTTAGACATTATCACTCTTGTGTGTGGGTCAGTGGGACCAGATTCTTACCCCAGATTTGGCTGTTATCGTCTCACATCATTCCCAAACATAAACATGTAGACCAGAGACTTCGTCCTCCTTATTCTAAGCCCAGCAGGCCGTTATCATCCACTGGAATTACTGATAAAAAAATAGTATGAGAGTATGTGTTTTAAGCCAACTCGGAATCCTTTTCTGAACCTGAACTGACCAGTTCTGGAGCCTAAACTTAACCAAACAATGACTGAAAAACAGAGTGACAGCAAAAGTCTTCAAACGCAGACTGTGAAGTTCCATTTTGTTGGTGCAAAATCCTAGATCTTTCTGCGTGGAGTCTCCATGTTCTCCCCGTGCAGCGTGGGTTCTCTCCGGGTTCTCCGGCTTCTGGTGTGAATGTGAGTGTGCTTGGTTGTCTGTCTCTAAGTGTAGCCCTGTGATAGACTGGTTACCTGTCCAGGTGAACCTGCCTTCACCCTGAGTCATCTGGGATAGACTCCAGCCCCCCATGACCCTAGTGAGGATTAAGGTGTAGAGATGATGGATGTATCCACAGTGTTCTTACCTCAACAGTGCAATATAGGTATACAAACCTTTTCATACAGCTTTTTCCTCAACTAACGAAGCTCATTTGTGTACATGCATGTCATTTGTGCCTGTATTTCCTCACTCGCTGCAGCTCGAGCACACCAGCTTGCCAGCTCCGAAGAAGAAGAATTATGAAGCTGACAGGGTTTGTTCCTTAGATTCATTAACCCTTCCACCCTAATGCTCAGCCATGGTGTCTACTGCTTTACTTTTACTCATAAAACCCCCGTATGAACACGTTAACAAACAGAACCTGATTTTCACTCTTAATAAAAACCTAACGGCCAAACTTAACATCGCTTCAAAACAAATAATGTGACTGCTGCTCTAATCTGCCTGGAACTCTAACTAACGCCTTCAAAGGAAGAATGTGACACACGAGGGCAGAGGAGGATTTATTAGCGGTGTCATGCAGTTTTGTGATCAAGCTTAATGTTCTATAAACACAATCACTCAAAGATTATCTCTCACCGGTGCTGAGAATACATAATTGCCTTTCAGCATGTGTGTGTGTGTGTGTGTGGACATAGTGGGAGGCTTTCTTATGATAAGGAATTACCATTTAAAAGCAATGTAATCCTGGCTTTATTCCGCTGTGTTCTTTTCAAACCAGTGCGTGTCCCTGTGAATCCTGCCTCCTGACATTTGGAGAAGCAGAAACACTGGCTGATGCAAATGTGAAAAGCCGAAAACCACCTTTGGTTTCATCTTCTTCTAACCGAGAATAAACCGATTTTTGGATTGAAATGTTTCACACTTTTATTTAAAAAAAACTAAAAACTTCACACTGTTTTTCTTTACCCGAGGCTGATGGTGACAAGGACGCGTCTGCATAAAAACTTATGAAACGAACCAAGGTTTCCCGCTTGGTCTTACAAAGCGAGCACGAGCTTCTAAAGAGAACTTTCAACTGAAGCCCATCACCTAACTATTTATAACTTTGCATTAAAAGCCTTTGACATTTGGGTAAAAAAGAGACTGTCTTTATCACCTCCTGGAGTTTTAATTAGCCAGTTAACAATAAAAGGACACGACAGCAGACATGCCAAAGTGCACATTTCTAAAGCAAAGCTTGTTAAATTCACAGAAACAAATGCCTCCATCAGAGTGTCACGAGTCCAACAGTCACAAAGGGTCAGCATCATGAATTTCCAGGAAGCGTGAGCGATGACGCCGAGCTGTTCAGTCGGCCTGCAGACCGTCATCCACGTCTGTACGTAGTCGATGATTTGAGGTGATAACACACCATCTAATAACCTGGTGCAGGTGTGTGAGCTGCCAGATGTGGTAAATACTCATGCAAACAGTCTCTTAAAATCACAGTTTTTCTGTCACAATATTCAAAGAACGACAACATTGAGAAGGCGACAAGCTGCACTTGATTAAACAGCGTACAGATGGACTCCATTAATTCACTTATGGAGTCACACAGGTGGCGTGTTTTTCTTTTCAGGTGATGATTATCTGGTGCTGTGGCCGTCTGGGTCCAAATCAAATACGACATCAAACAAATAGAAAGACACACACAATAAATTCTGCAGTCCAACGACACCGATTGCAAAACAATTAAAGCTAGAGTAGGCAGTGTTCCCCCCCCATCATTGGATATATGAACCTTTCAGCATGTTGCAACTCAACTGGTCTGAAAAGAAACCAAACCTCTGGTCCTCCTGCTGCTTTTATTCCTAGAAACCTTTAAGTCTGACTTACAGACTGCAGGTATGAGTCTGCCATGAGCTTCATGCAGCTTTTTCCCGCCCGTCTTTTATCTAAAATCCTCTTTATTAAGGGAAACAACCTCCAGGCAGTATGCTGAAGATGTGAAGCTTTGCAGAAGATTTGGATCTTTTAAAGAAGCTCTGCGAGGATTTGTTGGTGAGTTATTCATTTTAAGACATTCTCACCTTCCTGCATGCAAATGTTTCCAAGAATCACTATTTTTGAGGGATCGCCTGTTCTTAGCTAGACCGCTGTAACTGATTTTAAAGAAAGACAAACCTGCCATTTTCCCATACAGCAGAATAACTATAATGTGTAGTCAGACCATTCCACACAGAGAGAGTGGTCTGTCTATGTGAGACTATTAGCTCATTAAATGGCCGCTCCTAAACAAATGGGCCAGTAGGAAACTCCTCTGTCTTATCTGTATCATCAGTGGATGACGCTCCATTGTCCACTCGTATAACAGCGGCGGAGCCACGATTCTACACTTACAAAGAGAAACAAAGGTGCATGTTTGAAGGCTGAAGAGGATCATGACAGTCATATGTCTTGACTTAAGTCTTGTTTGGATTTTTACTTTCAGTCTGTGTTTGGTTAAGTTTAGGCATCAAAACCACTTGGTCAGGTTTACAAAGTTTGGGTTGAAACACACCCTGCCCTTGAGTTTACTGCATGTTACAAAGCTCACGTTTGTACCAGGATGCTGACTCTACCAGCGATGTCACTGATGTTGTTGGCCTACTGAACTGAGCATAAGGTGGAGGAGGTCCCTACTGGCCTACAACAGTCATTTAATGCCAAATGGGCTGATAACGTCCAAAAATCTCGCCCATGATGGGAGATAATGACAAGAACAGAATGTCTTGGCTTGTTGGGTTAGAAGGAGTTTGAATCCTAGTTGAAGCCATAAATGATTGTTGACTTTGAGCTTGATTATTATTGTGTGTTTGAGGTGCAGACACAATGTTTTATTTTTCCCTTTCTGGATTTCTGCCTACTGCAGCTTTAAATACGGTTAAATAAATATCTACATTTGTTGCAATGCAGAACAAAGTTTTGCATCTGATTGTTGTAATTTTGTTTGTGTTGTCCAGACTCAGTTTCGTCTGCTTCAGTCTGTAGCTTGCTAAAACTAAAAATGTCATGTGCCTCCTACAAGTTGACTGCTGTTCCTTTTTTTGTTCAGTTGCCGTTTTGATATCAGTGTGACTAAACAGCGATTACTCACTCTAAACATATCTCGGAATGTCCCAGATTACATCACCACCTGACATATAAATTTACTGCTGGGAATTAAAGTTCCTCATATGTCTGGATGGAAATGAGACCAGTCCATAGCGGCGGATGGCTGTTGGTCGGTGGTGGGGGTCGGCGGCGGTCAACGGTCCACTCAGTGCACAGCCACAGTGACAGGCAGCGTGTTTGGAAGAAGTTCCCTCGACGACTGCGAGTGAGATGGATGGAAGCTGTCCGCTGCCATCCTCAAACTCATGCTGCCATCGGCCACAGCGGGGGCGACCCTGAAGCCCCTGTGGGACGGCCGGATGGCGACGATGAACTGCCTCTTGAACGTTTCGCTTAAGACAATGTAGATAAAAGGGTTGATGCAGCTGTTGGCGTAGCCCATGCTGATAGCGATGTTGTAGGCGTACAGGAAAGCAAAGCTGGGCCGCTGCACTCCAAGGTGGGCCAGCTGCAGGATGTAGTAGGGCGCCCAGCAGATGAAGAACGCCAGGCAGATCGCCACCGCCATACGGGTCACCTTCCTGGCCCGCATCCTCAGGCTGCGCTGGGGCAGTGGAGCGACTGTAGCCGACACGTTCTGGAGAATCTTGAAGAAGACGCTGCAGATGACCACCAAGGGCAGAGCGAAGGCCAAGAAGAACTGGTAGAGGGTGAACCAGTAGGTATCTGTGGCTGGGTCGGGGAGCAGGAGGGCGCAGCCCACTGAGCCGTCCTTGAGAGGCATGAGTCCTGTGTACATCCACACCGGCGTGATGGAGACCAGAGACAACGCCCACACCAGCGCCACCGCTGCCCCGGCCACAAAGGGGGTGCGAACATGTTTGAAGCGAATCGGGTGGACGGTAGCCAAGTAGCGGTCCAGAGTCATCACAGTCAGGATGTAGGTGCTGACAATCTGGCTGTTGGAATCGAGCGCCGTGATCACGGTGCACATGGTGGCGCCGAAGCACCAGGAGCCGTTGCCAACGAGCTGGTGGATGAGGAAGGGCATGCCGAGCAGGAAGAGGAGGTCAGCGATGGACAGACTGAAGATAAATATGTCTGGTACCGTTTGATGGGAGCAGAACTTGGTCTTCTTTACAATGGTGTAGATGACGATACAGTTTCCAATGATCCCAAAGAAACAGATGACCCCGAAGATGCTGGGCATGAGCGCACTGTTGTACTGCTCATGGTCTGGTAAAGAGAAACAGAACGCTCCGTGTCAGTCACCTCATAAATCCTTTTCATACACTTTCTTCTCTTTGAAAAGAAAAGAAAAAAAAAAGCCACTTTATTGAATGTGAAAGAATAACACAGGTATAGATTGGGGGGAGGACACGTGGGGCAGTTACTCACACTGGGGTGACACAATATAAATGTTTCTGTTGTTGGCCAAACAGTCTTTTGTTTTTTTTGTCACTCGCTCTTATTATTTGCTTACGCTGGCAGGACTGGCGTCCACATTGTACAGTATAATAATAAATAAATGAGACTCTCAGTTGATTAACATCTAAAATGGTCATTAATGCAGCCCATGAGATAAATACAATTTAGATGAAAGAAGATAGGTACATATATGACCCTTTTGTCCAAAGTTTGTAGACATCACACTGTGTCCATGCAGCCTTTTGTATTTGTTTACTTGTGTTTATTTTGGCTGCAGGTTGTGGGTTGTTCAGCACTGGACTCCAGAGATTTTTATTTTTACAGTAGGTGTCATCCTTATAAACCTGATTCACACAGTTTCACCAACAAAAATATACAAACACACGTCTGCCAGAAAGAAAACATTGGATCTGACTCCAGTTCTGTGAGCTTTGAATATTTAAATATTGGTTGTGTCTGTGGGCTCCATCCCCACATGGGGGATGTGCAGCACATCTGTTCCCCCACATAGAGCCATGAAGCAATTATGGACAAAACAACGCTTCATACAGGCGCCAGCCTTTTGTTTTCCCCTCTAAAATATAAACTATAAGCTCATGCATTTAATTCATTATATCTTGAATCATCACCTGTTGCCTGGATTTTATTGATTGCTTTGCATAAATAAAGACATGTACACCACAAACTGATGCAGAAGATGCAAAACCTGGTGCATAAAAAAATCAACAGAATGCAAAAAATATTCCACACAAATAATAATAATAATATTAATAATAATGCATGTCAACAATATGTTTAGATTTATGACAACCTCGAATATTATTTCAAACAAGGAAAACAAACAAACAAACAAACAGCCTACCTTCTCCTGGACCATCAGGCGAGTTGAAGGATGAAGAATTGTTCATGTAGACATCCATGCCACAACCTTTGAGCTGCTGTTTGGCTGAAATATTCAATATAATGACACAGTTTACATAACAGGTTCCCAGCGACAGAAAAAAAAAAAAAATCCAATTAGCGACATAAAAAAACAAAAACAAAAAAAAAAAAAAAAAGTTGGCCTTAAAAAAATTAAAAAAAAAAAAAAACGCAGCTGCCCGCGTTCATTTACGGAGCTGAGAGATGCGCGAGAGGCTTCGCCGCCGCGTGCTCGTGCTGTCCGAGACTTGTTGTGAGCGCACGCGACCACTACAATGAGCTGACGTAGGGCGCGCGCCTCGCTCCGACTCCATGAGCAGAGGAGAGAGTTTTAAAAGCAGAATGTGTTTCTGCTGCTTTTCCTTCCTCCACAGAGAACAGCGCCGGACTGGGCTTTGATATTGTCCGCAGTAAGTAAAGATTAAATAAAAAAAGTTCTGAAAACAGGGAACGACCGCTGAGCCAGAACCTGACCTGTTTAACAGAAACACGGCCGGTCAAGTTCTCTCTTAATTAAGTCGTTTGTTGTTGGAGCCTCTGTTTGATTGTATGATATGATATGAAGTGGAGCTAATTATCCTCAATGCACTCTAATTAAATCCAATTCTCTGTGGCTGACTGGCTCGCTGACAGTAGTGCCAAAGCATCAAGGTTGTGTTAATCACAAAACAAGCACAACAAACAGGAAAGTGTTCAGCATCGTAATTCAGGATGGCAGACTAACAGAACATGGCAATTAGGACGAAGACACAATGGAAGTCTGTGTGTGTGTGTGTGTGTGTGTGTGTGTGTGTGTGTCATTTTTATAATAATCAAGATAATCGTGGTGCTCAGTAATGTTTTAATTATCTCCATTGTGCTGCTCTGTGATTGTCATCTGGGACGTTTGCAAAGAACGAGTCAATCTTTATCCAGTATTATTTATCTTAAATCACTTTTTAAGAGTGTCAATGGTGACATTATTTTCCTCCATCATAGTTTTTTTTTTAATAAACATGCTCCTTTAATCAGTTTTCACTGTCGAGGCCTTTATTGGCTTGAAAAGTATTAAAATATATATTTGCCCTGGTGGTTGAAAGCTTGTGAATCCTGCAAGAGGACACATTTTTGTGCTTATTTTCTTGCAACAAAAGCTATTTTTTGGATTTTTAAAGAAGTTTCCATTAAGATCAACCTGCAGAAATCACAGTTTTCATCATATATGTGGGAAAAAATCACTTTGAGGTTGACTTTCAAACTAGAAATCACATTTAGTGGCTGTCCGGGTCAATAAGCTCATCAGCAAACATCCATCCATCATCTCTACACCTTAATCCTCACCAGGGTCATGGGGGGCTGGAGTCTATCCCAGCTGACTCAGGGTGAAGGCAGGTTCACCTGGACAGGTAACCAGTCTATCACAGGGCTACACTTAGAGACAGACAACCAAGCACACTCACATTCACACCTACGGACAATTTACAATCACCAATTAACCTCAACATGTTTCTGGACTGTGGGAGGAAGCCGGAGAACCCGGAGAGAACCCACGCTGCACGGGGAGAACATGGAGACTCTGCTGTGGATATATGGGTCAATAAGCTCATCAGAAAACATGCATTTTTATTTATTTTTTCACAAATTCACCCCCTACTGGTGGTTGAGCTGCACCATAAGTGACAATTTTCTATATTTCTGCTCATATATGACCTGAAACATCATCAGATTTTCACACAAGTCCTTAAAGGGTACATAATAAAGCAAATGAGACAAAAAAAACCTCATACTTGATGTCATATTTATCAAGAAAAATGATCACATTTTATAGATCCATTGGTGGTAAAAGTATGTGAAGTTGTAGCACTTAAGTTGAAGCTGAAATGAGGTGTCTCCAGTCAGTGAGACGTGTGAGTGAGTGCCTTGTTTTATTTAAAGATCAGAAATCAATAAAAGTTTGACCTTTGCGGCATGTTCTGAGGATCTCGCAAAGAGAGTTGTTGAAGGTCATCAGGCCCAAAACAAGTCACAGAATCACCCTTTACAGAGTCAGAACTCCACCGAGCCACAGTCAGTCAGTCGAGGAAATTCAACCAACAACCAACAAACATCACTCCATGTCGTCACAGAGGAAACCAGGAGACCTTCTGAGTAACTGAAGGCCTCTGTGATGTTCATGTCCACCATCAGGAGAACATTAAGCAGCAGTGTTGTCCATGGCAGGGCCGCTCTCCTAAAAGAACACTGCTGAATGTCTGCAGCTCGATAAAGATCACGCAGACAAGCCAGAACGCAGCAGGATTGTTTTGTTTTTTTTGTAGGCGGGTGAGACAGAAGTAAAGCTTTTTGGTTGAAATGAGGCGCATGAGAGAAGATAACACCTGATGGTGGTGGTGTCATGGTTTGGGCTTGTTTTGCTTCATCTGGGCCAGTGTTTCTCAGTGTCGTTGACGGAGCAATAAATTGTGATCATACGTGTAAATTTAAAAAGAAAAATGTTTTGAGTGTAGTTGTTGATCTTAAAGAAGAATAACGTTCATGTTTGGAACAGCAAAGTCCTGCCTGGCCTTGATCCAGGAGAAATGCTGCAGAAGGACCTGAAGTTGAAGAAACTCCCTCATCCAAGAGTTAAAGCTGTTTTAAAGGAGGAATGGAGGAAAATCAAGACATTAAAAGTCAACATTCACATACTTCTTCCACTCACTGATGTGTAAACGTGGATCATTTTCCTCAAAGCTACTTTAATGAGCTGTGTGAAAATGTGAAGATGTTTCAGGTTTATGCAGAAATAAGCTTCACAGACTTTCAAGCTCAACTGTAAAATTAGCATTAGCAGTCCTCTGTGAAATTTACACATCAATCCTGTAAATATAGGCCTTTCTGATGGTAGCTTCTGCCCTGGTTGGCAGATGTGCGAACACACCAGGCCGTGGTTAAAACATCCCACTAGGTGGCAGCACAGTCAAAGGATTGCAGCTCTGGCCTGCTGTCAGAGGCCAGAATTAGAAGCAGATGTGCAAAAAATGAAAACAATGAAAGACGACCAAGTATCTCAACAATCCACCAAATAAAACTGATGGTTTATAAAATGTTGTGTTTTACCAGAAACACTCAGACGGCCGAGAACCCATCAAGAAACGTGTTCCTGAGAAGTTATTTATGCATTTTAGTAGCACAATAATCCAACTTTGTCTTGTCTATTCTATCTGGTGTTCGACGTATTAAGTGAATTAGACGATCATAAAAGCATTTAGTATAAAGCTGGGTACACATGGTGAGATATAAACTAGTTTTACTAACGGTTAGGGGTGCTCAATATATCATTTCAGCTCCAGTAGTCCATCATGACAACTGTGATGTGAAGTAAAATCAGCTTGAACACATCCTTTTTTAAACTTAAAACAGTTTGTTGATGTTCGGGCTCCATGTTGGAGCAGCAAAATAAGACAGGACCAGGAGGGAACCGCTGGAAAAGATGATTTGATTGCAAGAAGAAATCACCAGCACGACACAAACCAACACAAACAATTTGTTTACTAGTTTAAATCAGCACTATGAAGCTCCATAAGACCTATGGGGTGTTAGTTGACTACTATTCCAATAATTGATTGATTGATTGATTGATTTGGGTGATTTTTCAGGGAAAAAAAGGAAAGAAAACATCTGATTCCAGCTTCTAAAATGTGAATATTTTCCGTTTAACGTATGGTCTATTAATCAACTACTATTCCAATAATTGATTGATTGATTTGGGTGATTTTTAAAGAAAAAAGAGAAAAAAAACTTCTGGTTCCAGCTTCTAAAATTTGAATATTTTTCTAATGACCTATGGTGTGTTAATTGATTAATATTCTAATTATTGATTGATTAGTTTGGGTGATTTTTAAAGAAAAAAAAGGAAAGAAAAACTCTGATTCCAGCTGTTAAAATGTGAATATTCTCTGGTTCCTGTTTATGACAGTCAACTAATCTTTGGTTTTGGGTCAAAACAGGACATTTTCTAACATTTTAGAAACTAAACAACTTTCTAAAATGATGTTTTAACCTTTTATGCAGATGCATCCACAAACAAAATGACACCAATCACTGTAGGATTAGGAATTATTTCCAAACAGAGTCATCTGCTGATTATTTTTTACATTATATTACATTATATGGCAGAAAAACAAAATACCGCAGTGTCACTTCCCCCCACCGTGTCTCGCAGCCCCACTACTGATAGTTATTAGTCGCTTGTGTAATGCTGACCGACGTGGGTGACAGTAATGTGGAGGGTTTGGCACACAGACTGACAGGGAGGAGCTCCAGTCACAGCAGCAGGCTGATCCTCGGAGCTCCGTGGAAGGAAGCGGAATTAAACGTATGCTAGCAGCTAGTTTTCGGCTCTCGGGTCGGGGTGGAAGCGACACCACACATACATCGCTGGTCGGCTCTGGAAGAGGAAGCGCCGAGCGGATAAATTACAGTTTTGTTTGTCGCGGTGGCACCATCGAAACGGAATATCTCGAGCGGTGAGTTTTTCCCCCTTTGTGCTTCGGCCGTACGCAGAAGTTGTGTGCTGTTGTGTTTGATTCCGCGACGCAGGCTAGCCAAGTTCACAGCGCTAGCTCGGCTAGCTGCTAGCAACAACAGCTTGCGCTATGAAAAAAAAAAAAAAAAAAAAAGGTGTTTTCTTCCTTTTCACATTTGCCAACGTGAATCTGGCAAGTAGGCCTCGAGCGTTTAAAAAAAACTACCCCCCGGGTATCACAACCCGGGACGCGGCTCTCGGTAACGTCGTCGTCCGTTGCGATGATTTAACGGGGGTTTAAGTTTGATAACCGCACCGCATCGCAGTTATTGTTATCCGACCGTTAGCCGGCATGCTAGCTGTAGCGTTCTAGAACAGTGGGCGCAGTCTGCCTGCTGGAACGGAATCGATCCGCTCAAAGTCGAGGGGGGAGAAACAGTTTTTACAAAAATTAACAAATAGATAAAGAGGAAAGAAAGAAAGAAAAGGGAAAGACAGAAACGTGCTCAAAAGCGGTGAGTTTGCGGTGCTAACGTGTTGACATTTTTGACAGCGAACAATCACGAGAAGGATGGGACGTTTTTAACGGTAACTACAGGCTGCCTCCGTTTTGAACTTCCCGTTTTTTTTTTTAATGACTTTGCTTTTCATAGCACCTCTGTAACTCGGTTCTTCTTTGTCTTCAATATAAAAGGTGTACCGGTCACAAGTTGTTATTTAGAGTAGCACAGCAGTGTGTCAGGACTTATTGTGTGTCGCTAACACCGAACCCCTTATCTGTGGTGTGCTGCTAGCTAACGGATGAGCTGGTTGTTTATTGAAGAGGTGATATTATTTTAATTTTTTCTAGTGATACACCCTGTGAAATCTGTACATCTGCCTCTCTCCTCTCCTCTGTTGTCTTCTGGCTGGCTGGCTGGCTGTCAGGTTTAATGGCCTTAGTGTTGAGCCCATCAGAGCTGCACGGTAGCATATTAGCAAACAAACCTAATTGGATAACGTAGCTTTATCTATTTAACTCAGCAACTGTAGCTTTAGCCGGTGTGTCCATGTCAGCTTTTGCCACTGATCTTTGGTTGCACCAGGTGGTTTGGATGCCAAGAAGTTCTGGAGGTACTGTCACAGGATGCTTTTATCTTCTGATGGATGTTCCTCAGATTAGAGACAGCAAACAATCCTAAACAGTTGAGAAGGACCATTAGACATGTTTATGTTTTAGATGTTAGATCCAAAACTACTTGTGTGCTGTTTCCTTAAACAGCTTCATCACATCACGACTACACAATTTTCTCTGCGCCTGACTGTACATAATGATTTACCCTTGAATGGTTGATGAATTTCAATCTGTCAGTGGTTGGGAGATGTTTTAAAAAGTTAATTTCCCATCCTGACATGTTGAAATGAGAGTTCAGTGTCTGAATGTTCATTAGAGTTTCAATATTTGTTTTCTACAAACAACTGTACAGCTACAAACTAAGTCTGAGCATCATGTGGTTCCTTGTTCCAGGTACCTTCCTGTGACCTTTATGTGAGGTCTAAGCCCTAAAGAAACGGGTCATCGACGGGAGGAGAGACTCGGGAGAAAAGCGTTCGACCGCAGAAGGCCTGGATAAGTGTTTTTTTTTATTTTTTTTAATCAGCCGCTGAAACACGACTTCAGAAGAGCAGTTTCCAGCACGCGACAAGGACCATGGAGGCCATTGCCAAATACGATTTCAAAGCCACTGCTGATGACGAGCTTAGTTTTAAGCGTGGAGAAATCCTCAAGGTAAGTGACAACCGCTAGATGGGTTGATGCTGAGGCTCGTCTTACTCATAGCTTTGGGGAATGTACTCCTGCTGTCGGTTCTGCATTATCAGCTCTGTGCAAAAGGAAACAGTCCTATCAAAAGTAAATAAAGACGGGAAAAAACAAGAACATTGATATGTTTTATATCACCTGTGTAAAGCCAGTCGCATTGTCGCACAGTAGCTGGAGGCACCTGTCAGCCAGCATTTATAGAAGAAAAAATATGAGTCAGTTTTAGCCTAAAAATCCAAAACACTGCTGACGACACACACACACGGTAATTACATGTGGCAGCAACATTTTAGGCCGGGATGCGGTGGCCTATTGTAGGACAGTGAAATAGTCTAAACAAACAACGTTACTCTGCAAAGGCACGGTGATTTAAGAGGCAAAAGCTGCAAGGTCTTCCATTATGGACTATTTAAAGAGCTCTCTGAATCCCAGGCTCGTCCTATCCTCAGGCATGAGAGGCTTGTTCAGAGCTTTGTGCGTTCTTGTTGGCTGTAAAGTCATTCGCTGACCTTGATGAGATGGCCAAGAATACTGAAATCTTCCTGCACAACGATTCTCTTGGATTTAAACGTGACTGTTATATTCACCGCTGGTTAGAAAATACAGTTATGAAGCGCAAAGGTGACGACACACATTTAATATTTCTGTATTTTCAAGGTATGTAGCCGAAAGCTTTGTCTGCATTTGATAAAGCGTGACTTTAAGAATTCCTTTTTGTGCCTCCTGGTTTTGAGGTTCGTCATTTAAGTGAAAGTAGCTCTCAGAAGCACTACTTGAGCTTTTGGTGGAGGGAATTACCCCTCATGCGCCGGCTCTGTTGGTGCAGAACCGCTCGGCTTGTTGTATTTTCAGTGTAACCTGTCACGCTGTTTTGATCATAACAGTAAATTGCTTTTACGAGCAACATCTGCTTCGCCCTGACATACAGGTAGACGGGAAAACGAGGACGCTTATAGCTAACAGTGTTATTTTTTAAAATTTTTATCTTAAGCGTTTTTAAAACACAGTCAGCTGTTGTGGATGAGCCGACTGTTCTATCAGGGGATGACTGCTGCTTTTCTCCGAAAAAGAGATTTGAGCAGAGCGATTTGAAAAGACTTCTTATCTCAGCAGGGGGGAGGCCGAGAGGGAGAGAGAGCGAGAGGGAGAAAGTCAGCTTAGGAAACACTGAGCTAAATACAGCGCTAAATAGGAGCTCTTTTAAATTTGCATATGAGAAGAGAAAGTACTGTACGTTACGTCTGATTTCAACAGCCAGCTGCCCTGATGGAAAATCTCAAGCTTCTCACCAGATGGCAGAGTTCCATCCAAGAAGTTAATGGGAAATACCAAAGATTTTTTCCCTTAATTGACACCGTTACAGATGAGATGTGCCCACTGATGTCTGGGTCATTAAGACGAAGCTCATGTTAAATATGTTTAAGCATACCTGATGTTATTTTTACAAAATCGACTTTAGGGTGTTTTCAGCTCTTGTCTCTCAGGAGTTTGTACAAGGCAGGTTTTACTAAAAATAAAATAGTCAGTGTGACGTGTAACTATGTGGAGCTAGAACATATCTGCTCACAAAGAAAACCCTACACGCGACCCTCGTCAAATGGCATCGTACTGTAAGCGCGCAGCCTTTAAAAGCTGCACAAAATAAACGCATTACAGTTTATGTCTGTGCAGAGAATGGATCTAAAAAAAGGGGGAAGGAAAGCCAGCACGAACGTCGCCGCTAGCGGTGGCCACATTTCATCTGAATCATTTGTTGGCCGCTTTGCCCACAGGACTCGTTTTTGAGTGGAATGAATTGGCATGATTTTTGTCAGATGCCGCCCTCCCCCACCCCCACCTCCTCCTCCTCTTCTTCTTCTCTATTTCTTTCATCTTCTTTTATCTTGTTTCCCTCTTTTGTTCCACTCCTCAGTACATTAAAGTCCTGAATGTTTCTAACCTCCAGGTAACTTGTGAGAAGCTGGAAGGAACACGCTGCTGTCGTTTATTGAAACACACGACGTGCACTGGGACCTTATTGAACATGTTGTTTAAGCTTTATTTATTCAGAAACTTTTAGTGGGGAGAGAGTAAAACAACTGAAATCATAAATATAGATTACATAACCGTCCCTAACTTCTTCTAGCTTAAGTGGTGTTCCAGTAAAACGCTGTGTAGTGCTGCAAACCAGCCCTGTGACGAGTACGTATGAGAAACTTTCTCTTTTCTCCAGCGAGAGCGAAAGTGATCAATCGGGTAGCGCTGTGGTAAACAGTACCCAGCAGCTTGTATACAGGATATTGCCATAATGTAAAGTCAAAGGTACGGCGGGCTCTATAATGTCGTTTTTTCTTCTGTTTTCAAATGAGAGACGAGCTCTTCTTCTCCTCGGATGTAAGCGTCCACTTTGCCGAGCAGCTTGTCGCACAATCTGCTGTCTAGCCTTATTCCAAAGTATTAATCATGTTCTGTATTGATACGAGTGGAACCACTTGTGAGATGCACACGTTTAGTCCTCTTGGAGTTTAGATTTTTAGACTGTAAATTAAACATGCTGTTGAAAGTAATGTTGATAATCTGTCAGCAATTAATTCTGATTATTCAACTGAGCAGTTGCATCACAAAATTGTGCATTCGTCAACTTTACTAAAAGCAATAAAAAGAGAGGACATGATGATTTTTGCGCTTTTTTTTTGTAATTACTTATTGTAAAGTTTTAAACAGTCTTGGCACCAAAGTATGAGGAAGCCGACCAACCAATAACCTAAACGGTATGGCGTCGGTTTACCAGGTGTTACCCGTGTGTGTGCTTTTTTTAAATAATTTTTCTGCCATTTTTTCTGCATCCGCTAATTACTTTAAAGCAATAAGCACAACGTGAAGCTACATCTGTTTGTCCTCGCTGTCTTCCGCCGCCAGACTTTGCTCTTTGCACTCTGCTTTTCAGATCAGTCGGACACTTTGGTTGCATAAGAGTTGTTTAAACATCAATAATACTAAATTCCTCTCTCAATTGACTGCATTACCATTAGTGAAAGGACACTATCAAAAGAAGAGCTGCAATTATACAGCACCTAACAAGTCAAGGTTATTTAGAGTTGTTCCTGTTTGCTTTAGACGTCCTTATTGCTTCGCTCGATGCTGTGCCTCGCAGCCTTACGTATAAAAACCTTATTGAGGTGCACTATGCTCGCTGTGGCTCCTTTGCTCCCATCACCAGAGCTATCTGTCTGCTGATACTAATACTAAATAGCTGTGCTCTCGGGACAAAGACTCCCTCTCATGAGAGAGCAGCCCTGTGTTAAGGCTCGTCTTGTATGTAGGATCCTTAACTTCTCACCATTTTAAGTGGAGATGGCGGCCGTGCTGATAACTAACCGATGATATCTGTTAGGTGTTGTGGATTATTACTTTTGGACGGCTGGTTTTATGTTGATTCACTACCTGTTAGCACACACTGCAGCAGCAGCGTAATTTTGTTAATGATTACGGTGTGTTAATGATAATTTGGTGTCGATACAAAGGCTGCAGACTGACTGCATGCTGTTGCAGTGCAGTTTTAAAGTACTATTTACACGGTGCATCTTGTCTTTGCTCTCTCTGCAAAGGAAATAACTCATGATCCTAGATTGCGTTGACCATAATTCTCTCGTGGCTTATCAGCTTAAGGTATAGCACTTGTAGATGCGCTTGATAACTTGACAGCTCAATAGCACTGAACTGCCCGCTTCGCTGAATGTTATCAGGAGCCTTCCAGTGCTAGCTGTTAGCTACGGCCACGTTAATGGTTTTATTGTAAAACCACATTTTAAACAAACATTATCTCCAGTGTGCAGATGACTGTTCCAGAAGTAATCTACACTTACGGCCATTCAGTTGAATTCTGTCAATTTGCTTGCACATGTAGGCAGTAGTAGTATGATCAAGTTAAGTTATAACTGCACAACAGCCGCTGACAAAGACCACAGTATGCACCGCCTGTTGTTTGTTATCCACGTTGAAGCTACCGCTACATGTCAGAGCCGATGTCTTTGTTTTCTCCCGCATCAGGGTCACAGGACAGGAGTGTGTCGAATCAGTAGTGAACCCGGCCGGTAAACCAACGTGGGTGTCTAGAAGTCACAGATTCTCCCAGTTTGGACTATAATCCTGAACTTTTCAGATTAAACAGGGTTGGCAGTGTTTCCTAAAGTCTCTGTTATAGGTTTGAAGTAGTGTGGACTTGAAGAATAAATATAGCAAAAGTTATATGCTTTAAAACAAGTATTCGTGTGAATGTAGTCAAATGCATACATGTAGGTGTTGTGAAAGTGTTGCAATAATAGTTCCCACTCACGATGGCGTCAGACTATGGTTTCTAATGTACCAGTAGACCTTCAAAAACCCCCCTCACATCCTAAATACAGCTGGTAACCCAACATTGATCCAAGCAGCACTGAGCCCCGAGTTGGGATTCACAGCCTTGATAATCACGCCTTAGACTTTGCATTTGCTATACACAGCCTCTGTGGGTTGATCCTGTAGGCTGTGTTTTTTTGCTCTTATGTTTGGCGTCAGCAGCACAATTACTTATAGTTTGAGTGACTCACTAAAAGTCAGAAATATTGCACACGGACCCAGCTCTGGCTTAACGCCGCAGTTTCTGTCCTTGTTTCATTTGCTTTTAGAAAAAAAAGACCTTTTATGTAAGCCTCTGTCTGCCGCTGTGGGGGATGAAAAGGTTGAAATCCTTCGTTGACCTATTCAATCAGAATGAAATCTGCATGTGCTAATTTTTTTATAATCGCCTGCCATTATTTGGGGATTTTCAAATAAGACGGCACGTGTGTCTCAGTAGATTCAAATTATGCTCGAATGTCATGAGAATGTCTCTTATTATAGCCAGAATCTTCATTAATAAGTTATAATTATTGATGCTGAGACGCCTAAAGGTCAATTTGGTTTTCTTTTGTAGTGATTCTTAGACTGTGATCAATCATACGTTTTAT